CCCCCCCCCCCAAGGCATAATTAATGAACAGTCACTAAAGGCTGGTATACACACAGAAAATATGAGTGCCACTTGGGATATTCTATGGTATACAAGTGGAAAGCATTGTATAACTAGTATATACATGTATTATTTATTGAACTAGGTGATCATTACATTTTGAATGGTACAAAGATGTGGATTACTAATGGGCCTGATGCAGATGTCCTGGTTGTCTATGCTAAAACTGGAGACCCTGACAGTAAACCAGAGCATTCAATCACTACCTTCCTCATTGAAAAGGTGAATATTTTTATCCAAAATTGATACGAAAGCTTTTTGGGGGGTAACTGCTTAGCAAAAATTAAATTAATAAGCTGAAAAACTAAGTTACTTATGTTATACTAAAGTTGAAAAAATATAATATGAAAAATAAAAAAATAAAGAAATAAAGAATCAAAGTAATATATACAGTATGAGTGGCCATGTTGTATCAGATATCCAAACTTGAGGCATAGCCGAGCGTTTGTATATTGGATACAACAGGGACATGAATACTGTAGATTGCTTGTCAAACGTCTAGATTAGTTCCTTTGTGTTTCACTGAAATTTTCAAAATTAAAGTGAATCTGGCCAAGAAAATCCACCTTAAAGTTTATGCAAATGAACACAATTTTGTATCAGATTTACAACACTCTTCACGGTCATGATTTCTGTTGTGTTTTCCTCATGGATTATTAATGAGTTTGACAATGTCATTTACAAAATAGGTAAAGGGCCATGACCCTCTTTGAGTTGAGTCTGTTTAGCTATAGCTTTGCATACAATAGCGTTTAAAAAGGAAATGTTATCTCAGAAAAGAGATTTCTCATTACTGAAATAATTGGTTTGTCTAACTATAGGATACTCCAGGATTCAGTACTAGTCCAAAGCTAGATAAACTTGGAATGAGGGGCTCAAATACTTGTGAACTTGTCTTTGAGGACTGTAGAATACCAGGTATACTTTACTGCACATTCTTGGGCATGGGACTGTCTGTCTGACTGTCATTAAAAGAGTTCTATAGCACAGCACATGCATCCGTAAAGGATGGACCATTAGATTTGGGGGGGGGAGGGGGGTTGGGCAAAAACCAAAAACAAATTCGAGCATAGCTTTAAAGGGTGAAAAATAAATCCTGCATAAGAAAAGTGCCAGAAAAAATTCCAAATTATGTCCAAAAAAATTCCTGCACAGCCATGAGCCATAAAAAAAATTCTGTGCAAAATAAATTGCCCAACCCCTCCCCCCTCAAAAATCTAATGGTCCCTCGCTTACTGGTATTGTGAAATATTTGTATATTTGATCATGCTTGCTGATTGGTTGGCTACCATGTTTTTATCAAAGGACAGATGCCTTTTGTCCCTATAAGCTTGCTTCTCTCATGCTCTACAGCTCCCAGCATGTTTATATCACAGTACAGAAACATGTGCGTGTGTTTTGTGTATCTCAATCACAGTTAATATGTATATAATTATAATGTGCAGAATATGCATTTGGGTGTTTTGTTAACTTTTTTCCACAGTCATATAATTGTAAAATCTTTAACTTCTCATTTCATTTATTTCTAGCTGAAAATGTTATGGGAGATATCAATAAGGGAGTTTATATTCTGATGAGTGGATTAGATGTTGAGAGACTTGTGTTGGCTGCTGGACCATTAGGGTAAGGCTCTAGTCTGTCAAGCAAGGCAAGAGTAAACTTATTGACCATTACGTATGTTTGACTTACAGTATTTGACAGTTATTTACAATTTCTATGTGTGTTTCTTTGCAGTATAATGCAAGCAGCTATAGATGTTACTGTTCCATATGTCCATCACAGGACTGCATTTAACCAGAAAATAGGAGAATTCCAGGTAAATACTGACAGGATTGGTGAGATGGGACCTGTAGATACCATCAAATAGTTACATTATTAATTAATGTAACATCTAATGGCATAATAATAGATATTCTAAGCACAGCTTGATGGATGGATTGGGGGGATTGGTAGATGGATCAGTGGGTGGATGCATAGGTTGATGGGTTGCAGGTTGACTGTGTTTGTTGGTTGGGTGTCGGATAAATGGATGGGTTGGTGGGTGGATGGATGGTTGGGTGGGTGGATCAGAGGACGGGGGGTAGATGGGGGTTGGGGTGAATGGGTCATCAGGTGGAGGATGGTTGACTGGGTTGGTAGGTTGGTTGGGTATCAGTTGGATGGATGGGTGGGTGGGTAGATGGATGGGTTGGTGGGTGGGGTGGTTGGTTGGTGTTGTCAGATGGATTGATGGGTGGATGGATGGTTTTGTGGGTGATAGGGTGGGGTGGTTAGTTTGGATGTCAGATAAAAGGATGGCTGGGTGAGCTGGTTGGTTGGTTGGATGGATGGATGGATGGGTGTGTACAGGGTGGTTGGTTGGTTGAATGATCGATGGATGGATGGATAGATGTATATGTAAATGAAAATCAGTGAACAAAAGTGGATTGATAAATAATTGTGCAACAAAGAACTTATAAAATGTATTATCATGAAAGTTATTTTTTCATTAATTGGTAATATATTCAAATTTCCATTCATGCATGCATTCTTACTTTTAATTTGTCTATGTATTTGGTTTTCAATTGATCAATCAAATTATTTCCTCCCTTCCTTTCTGTTTTTTCATCTATTTTCATTCTTTTGCATTCAGTTGCTGCAAGGCAAGATGGCAGATATGTACACCCGACTAAGTGCATGCAGAAGTTATGTGTATTCTGTTGCAAGAGCATGTGACTTGGGACATATAAATCCAAAGGTACCTTCAACTTACTACTATCTGCTGCCTACAGTAGTTTTAATGATAAATATGATAATRATTTATGATTTATATAGCTCCCTTTCTATAAAGATATAATCAAAAGTGCTTTAAATGTCAGATTGCTTTTTATGCAATTTACAATTATGAGAGATAATATTATAAATAATATTAAGATAATATTATAAGCTAATGAATCCAAGGGAATGACATGTAACCCTTCAAATTTGATCTTGGGGTAAAACATCAAACCTTCAAATTTTAAAGAAATTCTGAAACAGCCTCAGGGCAGATCAAAGTCAGGGTAGTAATGCTGATATTATTCACAGATCAAATTGCAATTTAGCATATTAGAAAAAAACACTGAATTTAAGGGAGAGATGTAACAACCTCTAGTCAGTGCGATACTGAGTCTAGGAATTGAACCTGAGACCCCCCCTCCCCCCGAGGGGAGAGGTGTGTGTATACAGTACTACCACTACAGTGTACGTCCCCTGCTGGCTTCTAAAAAGAAAGGAAGAAAGGTCATAACATGTACAGGTTTAATCATCTTGTTTTTTTTATTGATTATCTGTAGGACTGTGCTGGTGTTATTTTATACGCAGCAGAAAATGCTACTCAGGTTGCATTAGATGCCATTCAATGCTTAGGCAAGTATTAACCTTGCTATCTTTTGGTATCCTACAAATACAAGCCAGATTAGATCCACTTAGACCACAAGAGTACCCACATAAAATTCAATCCTAGCTCCTTCCAACTTCAGGTACACAGTAGATTTGGCTGCCAATGGCCAAAAAATGCCTGGTGGAAAAAATGGATCTTTAGGTTGCGCTTGAATGACATTACATGTCAGAGGAAAGTCTGGTATTGTAAGGGAGATTGTTAAATGGCATGCATAGATTTTTTATTGAGTTTTTTACCTGGACTGGGCTTATGACCGGGCTTAAAATTAACAGCCAGTCATCACTAGACAATGTCTGCCCAAAATTGGAACTTGTCTTGTAAAATCTTTTCCTTGCCAGCCATTTTGACCAGTAATGTTAAGCCRGAAACAAGGTACCATGGCAAGCCCAAACTAATTTGGCTGGTCATCATAACTGGCAACTGACTTCCTGGCCATTATTTTAAGTCCTGAACTGGGATTCTATGGAATTTTGTATGTAACTAATTAACACCATTCTTGTTTCTAGGTGGCAATGGATACATCAATGACTACCCTACAGGTAGACTATTACGAGATGCTAAGCTTTATGAGATAGGAGCAGGCACCAGTGAAGTAAGACGTATTATCATTGGAAGAGCTTTTAATAAGGACTTCAAATAATAATGAATTTTCCAAGCCTGTCTTTTATCTGGTGTAAAATATAATTATGTGACTGTGTATATTATCAGACTATGACATGCCTACAGTATATTTTTGGGATTTTAAATAATGATGAATTTTCTAGGTCTGTCTTCTACTGTATCTGGTGTAATAATATGTACTTATTGACTGAGTGGGAGGGCTGTACACGAAAATATTTGGCTSCAGGTGATCAACGCACTCGCTGGGCTTGGTCCGTACAAATGACTGAGAGTCAAATATTTTCCCATACGGCCCGACCTAACTCAGTCAATAAGCATTTTATCATATGACCCTCACAAAAAGAAAAATAATGAAATAAAAGAAACTAGAAAGAAATAGTAAATAAAAGCTAAAAAAGAGAAAGCATATGGATTCGAGCAGGGCCGTACGGATTCGTACAGCCCTGCTCACTTAAAGCCGTACAGCCCTGCTCACACCATTTTCCCGAAGGTTTTTTTAAGAGCACGCGCCCGGACAGAGAAGGGTCATATGATAATTATGTGTATGTTTTCAGGGTATGGAATGCCTATAGTTTTGGGACAGTGGCAAATAAGTTATTCAAAAGTATATAAATAAATTTTGGCAAATTTAATGTATTGGTTTGCAACATGCCACACACTAATGGTGTACGAATTCGGAGTTGAAGAACAGCAAGATAATGTGTGTAAGGCCAAGTTCAGATACTGAAGTTTTGCGGTTTCAAACCTAATAGTTGCATTTTGTACATGAGAAGTGCAATGTCTGAGTCAAAAATTGAATTCTACAGAAAATTAAATTCATGGCTTCATTTTTACAGTATTAGAATCTTCAAAATACAGTTTAGATGCCACAGACATGGCATGAAATTCCTTTCTCCTACATTCCATACTTACTGGCCTTATAATAGTTTCCAAATATTAAATCTTTATCAATAAGTCAATAAACAAATATATGAATGATACACTCTTTTATTTATTCACAACTTTATCCATTTTCYCCTCCCATTAATCCTTGCTAACAAGCATAACAAACTTTTTAATGTTCCTGGCCGTCTTGATGATAACAGTGATGATGAAAATTTTGGTAGGAACATTGCCAGTAACATGAGACATAGTCGACAAATCCCAACAGACAGTAACCACAGTCAGGGTAGTGAGATTTTGTGTGAACGACCTCCAGCTACATGGCTTTTTTTWAAAACTTCCTGAAGCCACGTCCAACAAAATCTCTTGGCCTGCCCCTCATATAATAAAAGTTTACCTTGTTTTGTTTTCATTTTGTGACAACAAAGAAATTTACTAGATACAACCATATGTTTGGCAATATTATATTTTATTTACTTATACATTGCTTGTAGTTTGCCTGCATTTTTAAGTAAATGTTCAAATGACAATAATATATACTCTCAAGCTACTATGCTAGTGAGAATTATCAGAAATAACTAATAATTACTAAATATGTCACTCCAATGAAATTCTATTTTTCAAGTAAACATGCATGTAACTCCAGACATACAGTGTTAGCCTTTCCCATGCTGAGGACATTGTGGGACTCTAGGAAATGTTGCCATAAAACAGCCCCAAAATGTACTGTGATGACCACTTGATACAGTTTTTTTCCTCAACCTTAGAATGGCTAATATATAACGCACCAACATTGTCATTGTAACATCTGTGATCTAACTGAAATCTTTATGAGTTTATTACGTGAATGTATTCAATAATGTATTCTGAATGCTACAACAATACTAAAAAAGCTGTAAACCTAGAACAGCCTGTCAATCTAAAATCATGCATCTTTAGTTGTAGAATTGTGTTTAACTTGGAAATATGACGGACAACACACATTTATTTTTATTCGTTTGTTTTGCTTTTTATTTTGTTTGTTTTAGTTAATTTTTTCTTCTTAATTAAATCTATATTCAGAACCAAAAAATTTAATTCAATCAAAAATTTTTCAAAAGTCCAGTTTTCGAAGGAAAAATTTACCTACCCCTCCCATTTTAAAAATAATTTTACTCAACCCTCTCCTCCCTTCAACTAATCTGTTATTCAGGGAGGGGTAGGTAAGATTTTTTGTAGAAAACTGAACCAACAGTTGTCATTTTACTAAAAGTTTTTTTGTCATTCTTTTTTTAAATTCTTCATTTTTGATTATTCAGATAATCATGTCCTATAAAGTGTCTAACTAACAAGTAAAAATTGTGATATTTTTCAAAAATAAATCAGTATAATCAAATTTTCAATTCTTTGTACGCAACATGTTGTTGTCCATCAAATCAAAAACATGCTAATCACTAATCAATATCAACACAAAAAAAATTTTTCTTCTTGATTCTCTCACAGCAATATTTGTGACAAGAAATTCTGAATAGACGGAATTCCACATTACAAACAAAAATGACATTCTTTGCTGCAGCACATTATGTGTGGCAGACCATTGCACTTATTTTCAACAGAATGTGTGGGATAGTCATTGCAATAGAGTAGGTTTTGGGAAAAACCAAGTCTTAAGGACACATGGCTATAGATCATCACAGGAATACCTAGATTCTGTGCAAATCGCTAAGAAACGTAAATGGGAACTTAAAAGAAATGGCATACTAGGGACATCTTGTGGAAAGTGCAGAAATTATGTGCTGCTGCATTTTCTTTCTTTCTCTTTCAACAAGGATGTCATGTCTTTTTGTTGTTGCATGGGATTTGATATGCAAATAGGACATTTCCATTAGAGTGCCATTAACTTCAACTACCATAATCCCTTGCACACTTTCTTTTGATCAGTTATTTAATAGCACCAATTGTCTTACTATTCTCGTGATGACATACAAATTTGAATAAGAAAGAAAATTCATGAAGCATTTTGGTAGTAATAGTCAAATGACACCATCATGCAAATGGCCTATTGCCCTCTTTCCAAAGTCTTATATTAATTTATAATGCACTCATAACCTAAAAATAGTACTCATATATTATTCATACTATTTACGAATGGTAATTATCCTGAGTATGATAATTTTCCTTTGTTCTTGGACTAGCATAACCATTATTGCCCAAAGCAAATAATTTATGGGAATTTATGGTTTATACAATGTTGTTACTACTAATCATAATTAGTCCTACATCCATATTTATTACAGGTGTTAGCAAGGACTCCTTTTAAACTAGATTAATTAATTTTACATGTTTATCTCCCTTACAAATTTTCCAAGCATGGGGGAGGTAAAGATCTGAACTTCATCCCTCTCCATAATCACGTTCACATGTTTTCTGGACAAAGATATTTTAATTTATCATTATTATAAAAACTACTGCTTAATTCTTGATAAAAATCAAGACAAATTTGCTTGTTTGGTTACTTATGAAGTACTAAAGTAATATTGTAAACTGGAATAAAAATATTATATAGCATGCAAATGTAGTATTTAAATTTGTTTTTTATTCTCATTAATTTTATTAAGCATGCATGCATTTGTCTGTAAATTTTGATATTATTTGATGTCCAAACTTTAACCTTTTAATTTTCTGGCATTTTTAGTTTATTATATTAAGCTTTCATTGGAAGTTCAGATAAATTTATTAGCAATTGAAACTATTATAAAGTTTTATCAAATTTTGTCATATTGTAATCACTGAAAAATATATTTTATAATCAGCCTTAGCTCGTTGCCAATATTGTCAATTTTGTAGATTTTTGTCTTTTCCTCATTCATACAACATTTAAAGCAGCCAAAGTCCAATTTGTGTTATTCCAGTTTTATATGAAAAAGCAGCTAGTTTGTATGCTTGAAAATATGTTCCAAAAGCATATATCAAAAAAATTATATTGCTATTAAATTAAACATTTTTGAGTATCAAGACAGARTTAATTAAATTAGGTAATGAGAGGTAGGTACCTCCTAAGAATGTGAAAATAATACCCCAAACAAAACTTCAATTTAGAGAATATCCTTTATCCTAATCTAAAGACAGTTATGACACTAGTTGTTATTATTTAATAGATAATTTACTTCGGGCTACACCCTCAGCTGCCTGCATTATACCTACGAATGCTGCGTGCCGAAGTGATTATCTAGTATAATTATTGTTCTTATCGAAATCCAATTGTTTTCTTTCTAGCTTGTTTATCATAGAAACAAAGCCAATAATGAATGAACTAAATATGTCTGATTTTCCTCTATGCATTCGTTGGGATAATGCAGACTGAAAACAATGGATTTTGATAAGATCAGTAATTATAAGCTGCGTAGAGGAGCATGCAAAGAGGTGTCAGCATTGAACATTGGCCATTTTACCATATCCTACCACAAAACATCAACTTTGTAGTCTTATTTCTTAACTACTGTCTTGTATTAATGCAACAACAACAAAAAAATCAACAAAGTAGCTATTTCCTGGATTTTTTTCATTTTAAGATGCTGCAATTCAGAATTCAAAATTTGTGCATAATTAATTTACCAATGGTGTCCCTCCATATCTTGGATCTTAATTCAAATTTCTTTAATATCAAATCAAAAAAATTCCTCAATAAATTCCTTATTTACAGCTATAAAATTGCTATTCCGTTAATTATTATGATGTAGCAGGTCTCATATGAATGGAAAAGATCTTGGTTTCCAAGAAATAATTTTATTTGAAATTGTTAATTGTTTTTTGATATAAAAGGCAATAAAAAGATCAATAAAAATAAAACGAAAAAGTATTATCAAGTTTTAGGTAGTTAATTTGCCTCAATTTGTTTGCATTTGGCATAACAATCGAATGTCAGAATTAATTTTTCAGGTTTGTTTTTGGAAACCAAGCTCTTTTCATACATTAAATAGCTTCTAGTGCTATTGATTCTCATCCAATATTAAAAGTGTCTTATGGCAAAGTCCAAAGAACCATTGTTTCATCTTTTGAGTCCTAAGAAGTCTGGTATAACTAACAAAGTGCACAGCAAAAATATAATTTACCTTAGATTTTGTCAGCTTCTGCAAAAATATGGATTGAGCAGTATAAGATCTGGAGCCACTTGCAGCTCTGTTCTCAATATATTAATTTTATGTATAATAATTAATACATAATTTTCTCTTATGTTTCTACATACTTCAAAAAGATTTAAATCCATTTTTAAAATATTAATAAAACCTTCTAATATAGAAGGCATATCTTTGTAATTTTGAGATTTGTGGGTGATCCCAGTGAAGAATTGTTATGTGAGACTTGCTGGAAGTTTTATACATAGGTTAAGATGTAGCTTTATATGTGGTATTATGGCTAATGAGGAAGTCATTGTGTCAGTATATATTTTGTATAAATTTTGGAAATAAAACTCGCAATCAATTTATGGCCAGCAACTCATGGGTCTATCATGGGACACCATAGTAGGAGAAATGAAGTCCATTATTATTGTTAATATGACATTTCATGGCGTTTTGAGCAAAGATAGTCTGGTATGAATAATGGCAGAAGAATGCAAGACCTTGGGACATGATGCCAGTTGCAGTCAGAACTTTTGCCACTGGTCTTAGTAGGAACAAGTGCACCAAACACTTGAAATCATGAGGCAACCAATGATCCAAAGGTAATTGATAGCATGCATGGTTGAAAATAGTCCAGCATGGGATATTATAGTAGAATAGAAGACTTGTCAACATGGTCATAGTTGTTACAGTTGTGAGAAACACTTTGGAACTCAAGGTAATGATGTTCCAAAGATAATAGATAGCGTAGTTGAGTATAGTCCAGTATGGGATATCAATGGAAGACGTGTCAACATGGTCTCTATCTGTACAGGCGTTGGTACAACACTTGGGAACTCAATATTTGCGTATAGCCCAGTACAGAACATCAATTGAAGACTTTTCAACATGGTCTCAGTCTGTACAAGTGTGGGTAACAGTTGGAAACGAGGGAATAATGTTNCCAGTACAGAACATCAATTGAAGACTTTTCAACATGGTCTCAGTCTGTACAAGTGTGGGTAACAGTTGGAAACGAGGGAATAATGTTCCAAACATGATAGAAGACATAGTTGCGTATAGTCCAGTACAGAACATCAATTGAAGACGTGTCAACATGGTCTCAGTCTGTACAAGTGTGGGTACAGTTGGAAACGAGGGAATAAATTTCCAAACATGATAGAAGACATAGTTGCGTATAGTCCAGTACAGAACATCAATTGAAGACTTTTCAACATGGTCTCAGTCCGTACAAGTGTAGGTAACAGTTGGAAACGAGGGAATAATGTTCCAAACATGATAGAAGACATAGTTGCGTATAGTCCAGTACAGAACATCAATTGAAGACTTTTCAACATGGTCTCAGTCTGTACAAGTGT